GTCTCCCCAATCCCTGAATGCCCCACAATCCTCGTACTTCTAATCCACAAAAGCCCGGTAATACACTTGTAACGCCTCTGGTGTTCCAGTTGTCCATGAGCGAAGCCGATTGATTACCATCAGGTGATCCATCTGCTTGTTTGTCCACTTATGCCGTAAAAAAAGTTTTTAAATTACCTGAGTTCCTAAAGCCAGAATTTCATTCAGATATGCTTCGTCTACTTTTTCCATAGCTTCTTGGAAGTCATTTCTTAAACCCTGAAAAACAACAAAATGTATAATTTAGACAAGAGGCAGAAATAGATCAACAGACAACAGATGCTTAAATTTATTATTATAGTTCCATTACAAATGAATCTGCTATCAGTTTTTGTGCAGATGGTAGTTGTACCATCTGCACAAAAACTGAAGAATATTGAAAAGTTACTCAATTTTAAGTTGCACTTTAATATTATGCCATCTCTGTTATTTCACAAAGAATTTATAAAGACGGAATTATATTTAAGCACAACTTAAAATTCAGTGACATTTGAGTATTTGGACAATTGAAATTCAGCCAAAACTTGAGACTGTGCCGACTCCAAAATTGATAGGTAAAATATTACAATGTAAACTCACTCTATTAGCTTCCGGTTCCTGAATCTCTATCCTTCTCAATCTCTTGAATGATTGTAATTCATTTTCACCAAACAACCAGATTGGATGACCTCTTTCTCGCAACCTCTTTATGACCTCTGTTCTTGGCAAGCCAACTATTTCAGTGTTCTCCGCATCATTGGTTGCTTGTGTATCCCTTGCTGTAACACATTATAAAGATTAACTTAACATATATGAAGAGTAAAATTCAATGTAATAACATTAGTGTCGATGAAATAAGGTTGCATTGCATATGCTATGGACTTTTGCTTTGGTATGTAGTCATAGCAGAGTAACATTTTGTTATCATACCTACTCCTTACGCAAGTTTGTCTTAAGAATCAGTGTTTAACATCGTATTGTAGTAAGAGACTACACTTTTGCCAGAAACCATTGCATTCTAATAAATTTGCACTCATGCTATGCTACTTATAATCCACAACCTGCCTCCCGACTAGGGATTATAACAAATAATATAGAAGACTCTCATAGTCTGGCAGGGGACTATGATGGGCTGTTGATAATGGTAATAACGTTTTACCAACCTCTTTCGTTTTTAACTTCTTGTGACACGGCATCTTCTGGTTCGGGCATCCGTGGGCCATATTTCTTTAAATATTCCTCCTGTTCTTTAGCGATGAGTTCACCTCTTTTGAAGTATTTCTTGTTTTTAGTTGGATCCTGTAATGAAACAGAACTAACAAAATGAATCAAAGTCGAAGATTGAGGAGTGTGTTTATATTATTGTTGTGAATGTTTGCTTACCAGTAAATTCTTTTCTTCGAGAAGCTTACGTTTTCTAGCAATTTCAGCTTTTAAAATATCCATTTTGACTTATGTTTTGATAATTAAGGTGAAATAAATAATACACAATAACATGCAACGCAACAGCAAAGCTAATACTTTGACATAATAAAAATGACGTTCACTGATGTGAATGTGACATTTACAACGAAATGTCAAAGTCGTTGTCGATTTAGGGAACTAGCCTATTGCGACTAACAAAATCAAGATCAAAACACAAAACAAAGATAAAGAATAAGAAATAAAGAATTATCATTGCTAATATTGTTAAGAACTTGATGCTTATATTATTTTGAAAAATATTGGTATGACATTTAAAATCGGGCGAGGTAGGGCGGCGATGGTGAAGCGGATTTCGTAGTGGTGCGCCGCGCGGGAAGGCGGTTTACGCGCCTACCCGTGCGGATGGATTTAACATAGTTTAAGGACCAGTTTGTTCTCAAAAATTGCCATTTTTAAACGTCCTACACTAAGATGACCCGCGCGGCTATGCGGCACTTCGTCTGTGAGCTGCTTGCTCGCGTGGTGTTACACATTAACGGATTTCATAGTGGTCAATGCGACATAAAATCTGCTTCACCGTCGCGGCGGTGAGCGGAGCTGTGTGTAATTGTGTGTAATCTATATTCTCAGCAGTGGTAAAAAGTTAGGAATTGTGCTTGGAAACATTTATTTTTTACATGCTAATGCTACACAACCAAGAGCCAGAACATACCTATGTATGTTTTAAATTGTAATCTATTTATTTATTTTATGGGTGTTACTTCTGTGTGCACCTCTGCCTACCCCTTCGGGGATAAAAGGCGTGATGTTATGTTATTTATTTTATTTTCAGCTTATATCGTCAGACTACAGCCCTCCTTACCTTCTTTTCTATGTAAAGCTTTTTACGCCAATCCTTGTCATAGATGTCCAATTCGTCCCGCCATCTCCTTTTGGGCTTGCCGTGACGTCTCCAAATTAAATTATAATACGTATCATTAATTAGTACAATTAATTTAAAGATACCTACTACATAATTAAACAACAGATCTGAAAAATACTAATTTGTCCTTTTGTACCTAATCAGAAGGATTTTATCAGTTTTGATTTTTACATGATTAAACTTTGAGATTATCGAAGAGATATAGAAGGGGTTGATACGATGTACTGATTGTTATTGTAGATAATAGTTTCAACATGAATCAAAATAAAATTCATTTCAGTTGTATCAATTAATTCTTGGCGGAATGTAGCTAACATGTCGTCTCTGTTCAATGCGTTCGTTGTAGTTTTAAGTTTCGTTTTAGTTATTAAAGGTTCGTTTAATTCTAATAATTATATAAATATAGTGCGTTTCATCAAAAGTTTCTAACAAGTGTGCAAATAGTTTCAGCAATAGACTTCAGGATAATAGGAGGTTTCCACGCGCCTGAAGAATATGGAAGGTTTCACGCGTCAGTTCAGAATTTAACTGGTCATCATGTTTGTGGTGGCGCTGTGGTGTCCCAGTGGTTTGTGGTATCTGCAGCTCATTGTGTGCATAAGTGAGTAGACAATTATGGTTTAAGAATAACAATTGACTTACCCCTGAACAGTCTGTTGAGCTTTTAAGTTTTTGAGATTCTATTCGGTAGAATAGAATTTACATAAGAAGACATATTCTATCGGTAGAGGTATCTATCGGTAGAATATGTCATTGCCAGAACACTGACTGCTGAAGACTGCATAAATCATTAGCCAAAAGACATTGACGTCATCTAATGTTGAACGAAGGCCTTTATTTTCTAGAATATTCTTTTCCAATGTGCTTTGTACTGTTAAACCCGAAATTGTATTTTTTTTATGGCATAAGCCGGTAAACGACCTGCGAATCACCTGATGGTAAGCAATCGGCGTCGCCCATTGACACCTGGAACACCAGAGGCGTTACAAGTGCGTTACCGGCCTTTTGGGGATTAGGAGTTTGAGGATCGTTGGGGATTCAGGAATTTGGGAGATTGGAGAAGGGAAGGGTAATTGGGCTTCCGGTAACCTCACTCACACGACGAAACACAACGCAAGCGTTGCTTCACATCGGTTTTCTGTGAGGCCGTGGTATCACTCCGGTCGAGCCGGCTCATTCGTGCCGAAGCATGGCTATAAACTACTTACTTACAACTTTGCTTCGAGTAACAAATAGACGCGACGTTATATTGTTTTTATGATATACAATATCTCTTTCAGAGCAAATCCTCGTTTCATAAAAATAGTAGCAGGCACCAACAATCTAGACATTGGAGGCAAAAGATGCGATGTTTCTACAATAATAGTGCACAGGCGATACAATACGACTAGCAGACAACATGATATTGCACTTCTCAAAACGAGAAGTCCATTCGATTTGCAAATTATCAAACCCTTGAAACTAAGTAGACGGCATCTTCATGAAGGCGACGACATTGTTTTGGTCGGATTTGGTGCTAGTGAGGTGAAAATGATTTATCTTTTCTTTTTTTTGCGGAATACACCGGTAAACGAGCAGACGTATCACCTGATGGTAATTAATCCGGAATAATGGACACCCGAAACACCAGAGGTGTTACAAATGCGTACCTGGCCTTTTGGGGATTACGAATTTGAGGATTATTGATGATTTGGGGACTGATTCATTTATTCCTATTACTGAAATATTCCTTTAACAGTTTTTATTATTTTATATATTTTTAGCCACATGGATCATCAAGTCGCGTTATGTACACTTTGGAAATGCCAGTTTTTAATCAAGAGGTATGCGAATTTGCGATGAGATATTCGAGACCAGTTACCAAAGAAATGTTTTGCACATTCACGAAGATTGGTCAGGGAACATGTCACGTAAGTTAAACAATCTAATTGTTATTTTATGATTATTATTCTTTTGCTCTCTCAAAATTATATTATTAACATTTAAAATTTAACGAAACGTGCTTTTTTTAGTCTTTAATTTTATGTTCCCTAAAATAAGAATGTTATTTTCGTTAGTAGTAGTTTCTTTTTTAGTAACTAAAATTTTATTGTACTCGTTCATTTTTGTGTCTATAGTTTTTATTATCACTTAAGTAATTAAATGTTGGTTAACCTATAATTAACGACTGTATAAGCCTAATACCTATTGTTACTTTCATTATCACTTAATACTATGTATACAGAAGCTGTTGGTATACCTATATAAATAAATTAATAAATAAAAAGTTCTTATGTTTCATAGACTTAGAGCGATTGAATATTTTGTGTAACTAAAAATTTGTGTAAGAGTCAATTTTTAAGAGCAGGTAATTCTTTTCAGGGTGATTCTGGCAGTCCATTAGTAAAAGGTGATGAGCTAGTTGGTATAGTGTCTTGGGGGATCCCTTGTGCCGTAGGATTCCCTGATGTTCATACAAGATTGGCTCCGTACGTTGACTGGATTAAGATGCACATTCACGAAGGCTACTGTGGTGCCCCCAAGCGCCAATTTTTTATGAAAAAATAGTGTAAGAAAAGTCTGTTCAAGTCTGTTGTTAGGTTGTTATACTAACTTTATTAACGAAATATATCTGCTCTTATTGTTCTGTGAATGTTTAATTTATTTTCTTAAATCGTTTCAATTGTTCCATGTTTACCTGAAATCGGCATTAATAATTTATCATTATTATAATATAAAAAAAATTGTACCTATTCATAAGAGCTATGACTCAAACACTTATTTCCTTTTAAATAAAATTCTAGTAAAAATCTGATTAACGCTTAATTAATTACAAACTGTGTGTGTCATACTACAACAGTACATATTTGTAAATACCTTATACTCTCTATTATCTTCTTTCATATCCATTATGACTGCCATCACAGGCCTTCCATGTGCGCATTGAAATGGTGTCTTGCAGTTCGACAATCCATTTATCAATTCTACGCAATCATTCTTCGGAAGTTGATCACCAAATTTTATAGCATAACGGCAAGCCTGTGTGAAAATGAAATTTTTTATATGAATTTAGTGTAATTGTCAGTAAAATTATTAGATATTGGTCGAAATTTTCAATTCAGCAATGTCCCATTGTCAACAGGTACTCGACACTTTTGACTATTTTGGACACGGCGGCGTAGCATGTTGCCACATACGGCAATTACAGCCTCAAATACTCTCAGCCTTATATTTGTTATTATACTTCGTCCACGTAAAATAGTGGCTTTGGGCAGCATTATTCTATCTACCCAAAAAACTTACAAGAATTTTTTAACCTTACCTCACTGAAAACTAAATCCATAATACTCTTTGGGTACAACGACATGCATCCTTTTTGCAGCTTAATAGCACTGATTTCTTCGACAATCACATTTCTAACGGCTTTTATTACCTTATCAACCTGTGGAGTATGTTTCTTATTATTACTCATCATTGATTTTATGAAGGGAATGCGCACGCAGAACTGCATGCGTCATAGGGTTGTCTGTAGTGCATATACCTAGGTCTACGTTGGGATTAGTGATGTTACTGATGTGATGTATCGGATCTGGATACTGTATCGGTAATAATGTATCGGTTTGGATTATAGAAAAATGATAATGAATTTCATTTGAACCTACTTTGTTATGAATAACGATTATCTTACAACGAGTTTCAATTAACCCTTTGAGTACCGTCATTATAGACACAATTAAAAACAATAGGTGTGCGGTCACCGTTGTCCTCGCGGTCAGTTTACTTATAAGTCGGTAGATTTATTTAGCTACTACTACTAGAAATATAATTTACTAGTAGTGACGCATAATGCAGTGATCGATACTGGCTGTTTTTAGCTTGTTGTCTGAAACTTACATTCAATTCGGCTCAGATATAGGTTTCCCTACAACCACACACACTATAAATACACTAACAAACATCTATTGACTTGAATGTCGCAAAATTTCGGTTATGGTTAAGGATCTCTGTAACATCCATTGTTAGGACTTTAGTACAATATAGTATAGATATAGAGACAGTATTGGTGCCTGAGGGTGACTGGGACTAAATTGATTGAATGAAGGGCCGACAAAATGCAAAGCTTCGTTTTGAGTTATGACTCGACATTTTCGACATGTTGAAAGTATGTAGACCTTTTGTTTATTGTGAGTAAAACTTTGTATGGTAACAATCAACAGGTTTTGTTCACTTTCAGAATAAATCTGAAGTACGATAGATAAATTTGCCAATAATGAACTAAGCTACCTAGTAGTCGTTCACTAATAAGATATTAAATTTTAAATGGACTATATAACTACGTGTTAACGACTATCAAAAAGGGATAATATTAATTTTATACATTACCTCTCTAGGATTTTTACCGAGAATAGCTTCAGGTATAGAATGAACTATCACTTCGTTAGTATCTGAAATAGTCCAAAATAGACCTAACTGATTGAACTTATCTTTGTAGTTATGCAGGTAAAGAATTTCGTCTTTCGACATCTTCAAAATCATATTATCTACTGGGACACTAGTCCATTTGTCATCAATGATATAATCTGCAATAGAATATTATTGATCGAGGGTTAAAAACTTATTAATAACTTTCGCCGCTTTTATTGCTACTTGATCGATGTTGCACGCTCATTGTGACCAATTCAAATTTTATTTGTTTACTTTCAAATGGCTCTAAACTTATCATATTGACATTTAATAATGTGTGATGTGTCTGACAAAAGGGAAATACCTGCTAAGTTCTTTTCTAGCATTATTCTCTCATGAACGGCATGTTGATCAAATAACATGAGATATTGTGAAACTTCTGTTTGTTCAACATAATGGTTTTCCGTTACTGCTGCAATAAATTTACAGTCAACTTGACCAAGAACCTGTATAAAATGATAAATCATGAATAATTTAACGTTTTCTTGAATTAATCATGTTCTTTATAGTGTGTAATAACAGTATATTACCGTAGCATTTTTCAATGAATTCTCGTCAAAAACTAAAGATGCGTGATCTTTCTTCACTTTAGTTTGAAACTTGTGAACATTTTTTGTTGCAAGTTCTTCAACATTTTGTATCATTGGCTCATATATTTCAGTGTTGGCTTGAACGTCATTGACAAAATTGTTATAAATGCTCTGTAATTCAAAATGTTCAGATTTAAACACCAATGTCCCTACATATTTTTGTTTACTATTTAGTTTATATTTCATTTAGTTATTCATGAACAATTATTACATTGTGTTTGAATTTGTACAATACATATGTCTTTGCACTTACATCTTCATAATAATCTTTATCTATATTGTAGTCACATGCAGTTTTGGAGCGACAATTTTCAAATATTTGAGACATACCTGTAAACGTTAAATTATAATTATTTATAGAGAGGCGAATATTATCTATAAAAACGTTGTGACATAACTAATACTACCTTTAGGTACAAAACGTGGTCTATTTCTTAAATTGAAATTGTCGATTTCCACATTACAATCCTGCTTTACATTCATGTTGTCTATAACGTTGATATCAGGCGAATCTTTAATTATTACGTCTTTATTTGTAGGTCTAGGTTGGCTTTTTTCTAGAAGCTCCTGATCTTGAATGTTGTTGTCAATAATATAATTATCGTTCATTTGTTCATTTTCTGTAGCTTGTATTATGTTGTTAAAATGATGTGAAACATCTTCTCCGTTATCGTTAACTGCTTTATTTAAATTAATTAAACTGTCTTGATTTTGATGTTCATTAACAATTTTACTAATATTCGGAGAGATGTTGTATAGGGAATAATTCCTTTGGTGATTTTCGTTAAATGTAAAATCAAATTCTCTTTCACCTGATCCGATGTCATGTAAAACTGTTTCACATACATCTAAAGGTTCGACAATCACATTATTGCACTCAGATTCCCTAGCGTGTGTAGAACATTGTGATTTGGATACAAATACAAAGTTAGTGTTATTTTCATTAGTAGTACAATTGTCCTTAGGTTGATTGTGTACACTAATTAATTCATTATGACCATCATGGATGGTTCCATATAGTTGGTTATATTCACATCTTTTTTGTGTCTTATTCCTTGAATGTTGTGTTGCAATGTTTACGTGAAATGAATTTAGTGTATAAGTATTCCCAAAAGCTTCATCAATTATTGCAAAAGCATCATCACAGATATTCTTGCCTTGATTATTGTAACTGTCATCGATATTCTCATGATTCATATTCATAGAAACGATTGCGTTTTCTGCTACGTCAAAATTATTTTCACTGCTTTTGGAATACTCAATTGTATACAATGATTCAGTTATGCTTTGTATTCTTCGTACATCGTATGTTTTTGTTTGTCTGTTGGATATTATCTTACGAGGTCTTTTAAATTTAACTCTTAAGTCATCGGATGTAGCAAAATTATCTTTAGACTGTTTTGTAATAAATCTAATATTTGGCTTTCTATTCATAGTGCAACAGTTTTCAGTTTCGTTTCGTTCAAAAACTTCATTATTTCGATATTTGTGGCTGTCATATGTTAACACGCTCAGGGCATTTGTAACAGGATGTGATCTTTCTTTTTGCATTGCATAATTTTGATAACAATTAAATGTATCTGTAAGTTGAAATCGTTGCGCTATTTGAGGTGTATTGCCTTCATTTTCTCTATAAAAGCTAAGAATTTCATTTAAATTATCTCCATAATGATATGGTGTATGTTGTTCTTTGATGTTACTCCTAAATAGTGAAATTTCATTTATATTTTTACCATCAACGTCTGAATATTCATTACAAATGTATTTGTTAGTTGTTACGTATCTTTTGGAGAGTTTGGGGAAATGAAGTTGTATATCTCGTTTTCTGTATAATGCTTTGTCCAATTCACTTGTGTTGCTTTCTACAGTATTCAAAATTAGCTTCTGACTGTTTATAATCGTTTGAAGTAAGTCGTACGTTGTTTTATATGGCTTTGTTTTTATTTTACTCATTAGGTACTGGTAATTCACTTTATTGATTGGCTGTTCATATTCGTTTATTGCACAATATTTGGTTTTTATTAATAGTGGGTTTTTCTTTTCTTCGTAGTCATTTATGTTGGGTTTTATTTTTTTGATATTACTATTGCGTAAAAATTCTTCTGCTTCTTGGGCTACGATTTTGCTCCTTTTATAGATTGAATCAGTATTTTTCAAATAAAGTAATTCATGTTTATTGTTTTTTATTTTATGTTTGTTTTTCGGTAGCTGCTTTTGTTTTATAGTATTATTTTTTATCTTTGGCAACGCTTTGTTCTGGTTCATTTGTAGTACCGGTGAAGCAAGGTCTTTAATTCTTTTGTTTGGTCTTGGAATCTCTTTGATTGGATGTTTCTTTTGTTTAGGTATCTTTTTTCGTTTGCGACAATGGTTAGGGCTTTCGCCTACTTTGTGTACTGTTGGCTTATCTTTATTATCAGCGTTCTCTTTTACCTGTTGTGGGGCATTGTGATTCAAATTCGGAAGTATATTACTCATCAATTGGCATTTATCATCAAAATTTGTATTTGTCTCTTTTTTAAATAATAATCTTTGGACATTAACACTTCCTGTCGTCTTCTTTTTATTTTTTCTTTTTACTAGCTTTCCTACGAATGATTGAAGGGTTAATAAAAATATAGTAGTATGACGTCATTATTTAAATATACCGTATTATTTAATACTTCAAACTACCTATACATCCTATGATATTGATAAAAATTGTTTATCATAATGTGTAACGATACACATCTCTAAGATTAATATCAAATAATAGGTACATACTTAACTTTATACATACCTTTTATGCCGTTCTGTAATTGTGAAATTCCCAACTTCTTCGAGTTATTTCCTAATATTTTATCTATAATTTTCTTTACTTGATCTCGAGTGTCATTGTTTTCTTTATCATTTCTTCTATCGGTATTTGAAACAACCTTTTCGACATTTTTGACTTCTTTTAAATTTACGTCACCAACGAAGAATTTTACTAATTTTTCTAACATCTTATTCAGTTGGTCCCAATTTTTAAATTGTATGATTGCTTGTTTCGTTGTATAGTCAATATCATAATCAATGTATGGGCAAGTTATGAATATAATGTAATAAGGAATGTTTTGATTAAATAGTTGATTTTCGTCATGTCTCTGAAACATGTTTAATATACGTAATGATTAAAGTTGTATGTTTTTGACGACAAAAATTCACCTAATCACAAATTTTACCTTAGATTTTAGTCGAGTCTGTTCCTTTATGTTCAGACATTTTTTTAAATATTCATTTGTAATCTTATGTAGCTTGCTACTGTTATGTATAAACTTCCCATTGACATAAATCCAGTGGAAGTCAAGCTCTTTATTACCTTTTCCTATTAAACCTTTAACTTTGTATTCATTTTTCTCCACTTGAAGTTCTTGCACATCACTCTTATCGATATTAAATAAATTCGATAATGTTTGATAGATATTTCTTTTCTTATGAATTTTAAATACAATTTCATTTTGCAAATCATCTCTTAAACTTAGTGATATGTGATTATGGACTAGTGATAATTGTTCAAGAAACGTTTTGATGTTTTGAAGCTCATTAACAGGATCAATACCTCTTTTTTGTATGTTAAGATTATAGAGAAAGCCTTTGATGTCTACCTGTGAACACATTAGGTAAGTAATATTAATCAGTTTCTCAAGTGACTGCCTCATTGGCCGAATGGTCGCAAGTGCTGCCGGGCAAGGGGTCTCGGGTTCAATTCCCTGGTCGGGCAAAGTATTTTTTAAATAAAATCTCAGTAGCAACACAGAGTCTGGAAATATACCCGGTATAAGGCAATAGGGTAGATGCCTAATTTTTCTTAATATTTTTCATTACCTAACTTACGAACTAATTACATTTTTAATTTTCATACCCTGTCATCATCTCAATTGACATTAGATAATTAAAGGCTTGTCATGAAACATATGTCTCTGTTTTATAATGCAACCTAAAGTTATACGAGTACTAACCGTAGTTCCTTTCGTAGGCCTTGTAGTCATTTTAATGAACTTCTTCTCTTTACCATTAGAAAATATCTTAGCCCACGTGTCTTCAGAATTTTCATGCCTTGACGTCATTTTAACCATTTGTGACACTGCAATAATATTTGGTAGGAATTCCCCACGATATCCATAGTTCTTCGGAGCTGCTTTCATAGTTGCCACATCCATAACTTTGCTTGTCATATATCTTTGACCGATTAAATGGAAATCGGTTTTTGTGATGCCATGTCCATTATCTATAACTTGTATTGTACTTTCTTGAATGTGTATCCTTATCGCAATCGATGTTGATCCTGCGTCTAGTGAATTATAAATCTGAAATCAAGATCGTTTGTTATTTTTATCGTCAAGGCACGGCGTAATTACGGTGGCAGTGTTTGCTTTATCAGTATTTGTAGTGACATGTTTACTCTATATGATTACAGGCAATAAAATTACTTGTATGTGGACGGAAAACTATTCAAACACAATGATGGTCAAAGCTTATAATGTTCTAATGCATAGGCAGCTAGTCGAAAAAAACCTTATCAATTTTATCCTCTGGTATACCATCTGGTATTGGTTCATCATCAGTGTGCACTATAATGACAGCATTAATAAGGATTAGAAAAAATATTGAATAGCTTACTAATTCTTCAATGGCTCTTTTGAAGCTATTAACTTGAGAAGATGCACATAATAACGACTGAACATCGTTGGATAATTTTTTCAATGCCATTTCGTTGTTTTCAATTACATAGCTGTAAATTAACAGTCGAGTTCAGCATAATTTGATTTGACATCTGTCATTATAAAATTAAAACAATTGATTTTTGCTAATCCAGGTAAAATATTTTTTACATAGGTCTAACTAACCTCTTTTGATGACATCTATAAAGACGAAAACAAATTACAGTAGATTTGATTAGGAATAGACAAATAATTTCAGTTTTAATATATTAATAGGTAAAATAAAAAATTGAACATGCTGAAACACAAATTAGTTGATTTGAATATTTATGAATTGGAAATAACACGCTTCAACTTAACATTGACCCAGTATCACCATTGTTTTCGATGGCAAACATCTATAGAAGTTTATACTATATAATCAAAAGCCCATTTTAATGAATGGGAATCGATTGGTATTTAACCCTGAACTCTATTGAAATATAGGGTTTGAAGTGCCGACCGGGTGGTAGTCGTAGTACAGACCCCTCACACGACTGACCGCGTCACGAAATTAATGACATACTTTTATACGATAAATACTAAAACATTAACAATGAATAAATACAATAACGATAAACTTTTTGATTAATTAGGTACAGTATAATTTATTGGCAAAAAGTCGGTCGCAACAAAGGTAATAAAAGATTCGATTAAATCTAAATTACAATCAACATCATGCTGTACTGATGTTTATCGGAGTTTGTCGCTTGTGGAACGATGAGTGTTGTTGAAAAGGAGATATTATTGTTTTGGGAATACGTCAAACGGTAAGTAAACCTCTTTTCTATCATGTTTGACATGCGTGATTTATTGTAGAACCTTCATAGTAAGCACTTTGTTCTGCCACAGATTAAATACGGTTTATTCTTAATGTAAACAGAACTTTGGTATTGCAACCTCATTGGTTAGTCGGAAAAAAATGTCTCAGTTTTTAATCATGGTCTGTTTACACGAGTCACTAATTCTTAAAAGTCTAGTAATTAAGATAGGAAGTATGTTACTCAATGGTTTCTAGAAAAATGCATTTTCTCCGAATTTGTGATAAGTAGAGATACGGTTCCATGAGACAGATCACTAAGCAATGACTAACGATGACTAATTCTATTCTGCTTAGGAAGTAAATAATAATCTCTTAGGAAGTAAATAATAATTACTTATAAAATATGATGAGATAAGAGCCTCTGAAGTTTTGATTAGTGTAGTTGATACATTGGGTATATTACGGATTAGGTTAGCATTACGTACTCAATGTTATGCATAGTGTAACTTATCAATATACGCACTTTTATTTTTACATATTTAGGTATAGTTTTATTATATTGTGACACATCATGTTGTAACGAAGGTATGTTAATTTATAACATACATCATCGAATCGAGAATGAAATGACGCTGCAATAATCCATCCTTTCAGTAGGCAGAACTCGTAAAAACTAACATCAAATAAGACAATAATAATGATTATGAAACACGATATTTTATGATCCACATGGTTATATCACCATTAGCGAGGTTAGGAATCGATAAAGAGAAAATTGGGTCACTAATGACATACAATTGCCTCAAAGTGGGCCTTTGAAAGAAATATTCAGTAGTTCTGTGGCCTAGTGCATTATTTATTCATGAACAAAGTACTGGCCAGCTACTGTCAGTTCACTCGATGTATTTTTCAAAAGGAATAGAATCGATTGTATCGATTTAATGATTGTTTGTTGGTATCGGGATCTGTTTATAGGAGTATTTTGTAATACAAAGGGCAATTACTGTTTTTGTTTTTTATGGGATAAGCCGGTAAACGAGCAAACGGATCACTTCATGATAAGTAATTGGCGTCGCCCATGGACATCTGGAACACTAGAGGCGTTACAAGTGTGTAACTGGCCCTTTTGGGATGAGAATTTGATGATTGTGGGGGATTCAGGGAATGGGATGGGGGGGGGGGGATAATTGAGCCTTAGTGTTGACTGTATTTTCAATACTCTAGTATTACTCTCGATAATTTAGATCAGTGGACTTGCACCTCATACCCCCTTATGAAGCGCCATACTGTCTAAAACACTTTTAAAGCAGGTGGAGGTTGTAGTTTTAAAGGTGTTTCGTCGCGTCAGGGTACTTGGGTATCCAGTAACCTTACTGGAGACCCAAGCAACGGATTAGATTCAAGTACCTAGGCATTAGTAGGGTATAAATATGTTTGGTTTATACATGATTTTCGGTAATAGGGACGAAATTAAGACTGAAGTAATAGAATTGAAGTATCACAATAAAAAAAAATATGTTCAATACATATTACACATCCCGTAAGAATAACTTTCACCATTATGACGACAGTACAGGACATATTTTGCAAAAACTCTCTATTGTTGCACTCAATATTTAATGTTTCTCATGGCGCCAACAAATGGAACAAAAGTTCCTAAAAGAACATTGCTAAAAAGTAAACTAGTTGCATTAAAGTAGGAATTTCGGGTAAACATTCCAATGGCTTGACAAATCCTTATCTTTTGATGGGACCCTGCCATTATTGCAAAACAATATGGAGATAAGGACTCTTACCGTAACGGGCAACTGGTCACCGGGAAGTCATATAAATAGGACGATTTAGGAAGGAGAAAGCATCAGTGTCGTCAAGGATTTTGTTGGGATAGGACCAAGAACCAAAATCAAGGTAAGCAATGAGGCCATTTATTTCTTCTTACCCTGTAGTGTTAGCAGCTCATAAGATTGCTGCGTTCGAGATTTCGAATCTAAAAATCTTCGATGAAATCTCATATTTAAATGATATTCTGTCTACAAATACTTACACAAGAACGTTATCAAAACATCATTTGCTAAATAACATTTCATTCTACCTCTACTTTCAGATGATCAAAACACTAGCAGTACTATTGGCTGTAGCAGCAACTGTTTTCTCAGCCGAAATATCTTCTTCATACGCTGCATTGGATAAACATGCAGCTTTCAAACCTGAGCTAGCATCTGCACCTTTGGAAAGCCATGCAGTACAAGACATACCACATGAGGCAACACACCCAGTGTACCGACCAGAAGAAATAAGCCAGGGTAGAGCAAGGATCGAACCTGTGAAATCTTTTGGACCAGTTATTAAACATGATTCTATGTTAGCCGACCAACCTGAGATGCCTACGGAAGTTAATAGAATTGTGAGTATATTCATTTGAATTAATCCATTACACACGTATCAACAAAGCTATAATGAGATAGCATCGATCCTTTCGTATCTATGAGAAATGTACATCTTTACAAAATTCTGTATGGTATACCATTAGTTTAATTTCAATGCTGGTGTTCATGTATTAAACTCGTCTATAATAGGCATGGCGACTATTTTTTAATTTTTTGTCCGTCTTTTAGATATTTTAAAAATCTTCGATACGTATTTTTTCTTTTTTCTCGTATCCAAAAAAACATGTAGATATTTTGAGTTAAAATGACGCGTGACGTCACAATTAGGTACGATTTCTCCGTAAGTGTGACGTCAACACCCCCCACTCCCTAACTTTAATGCGGAATAACTACGTATTCTTCTGTTATTTTGATAAAACAAAAAATACGTGTCTGATATTTTCGTGCGATCTTAATGACGGACTAATTACTTTTTTGATTTTTTTACCCTGTCGACACGCCTATTATCATTTTCTATTATCTAGTGTGACGACCTAGAAAGGTAAATCATAATATTTTTTTGTAATTCCAGGATGATTTAGGTATCCTAGCGAACGGATATGTTCCTGGCACCGCTGATGTGGCTTACCCTGACGTTCCATATGCACCTGGTTATTACTATGACTCAGGATATGCTGCATCTAACAAGTAAGTAGCTTGTCTAGCATCTGTTGTGATACTTCATCTTCTTGCTTTTATCCCAAGACTAGGACGTGACTGTGATTTCGATATTGATAATAAGGTTGACTGGGATAGAATGCCATATGGCATTAATGTCCGCCTTATGTACCATTAAAGTTTAAATAAATATTGATGATTAGGGCAGTTACAAATAATTGTGTTACAACTTAAGCTGTGGGCGAGCTATATACATTAGTTTCTGAACTACTGTTTTTTATTAGTGACCCTAAAATCAATAATCATCAAACCATTTTTTACTTCATTTTAAATTCTACCATCATGAAATTATATCAGTATGATTACGTTTTTATTTGTTTACTTGTTATTTTATTATTAGTTTCCATTCTAATGTAAGTTCAGAATTTGTGTCTTAATTAAGATTTTTGATTATATTACAAAAAATACTAATTTGTTGGTGTACAGTCTTATTTACGTTTAATATTCATTTCAGTTACGATATGTACAATTTTAAGAACTACTTGATGGAGCCCGATACATCAACGCTAGGTTTGCTGTGGAGCCAGATGCCACATGCCAGAGTAAGTGTTACATGCATTATAATGTAAAACTAGTTATTTTTGAATCACCAATACAAACGGAGTTAACATTGTTGAAATAACTGATGACTGTTGAGGAAGCGAAAGCGGTATGTAAGAATTATAGCAATTGGCGCTCCAGTGTCTGCCTACCCTACCCTCATGGGAGACAGGCGGGAATTTATACATTTTAGTACCTCTAAGATTTTATATTTGTGTGAATACGATGTCACGCTATAAATGCTGGGCGAGAGACCTCGGGTTCATTACCCAGGTTGGAAGTATTCTGATGTTATACAGTAGTGTATTATTTCTGGGTAAAAATGTGATTTAATATAATAATAGTGTATGTAGTAATAGTGTATGAACCCTAAGAAAAATCGCTGGGAGTATTTTCTTTAATTTATTATTTAAATTTATTTTCAGACGATGGTCAGCTTCGTCGGTCGTAGCATCACTTGGATTTTCAACAGCGTAATTGTTTTAGTCCTTGGTTCTCTCTTGACCGTTGGAGTTTGCACCTACACGAACTTATGTTCAATTGCCTTCCACGGAGTTGGTCCGATCCATGAAGAAATGAGGGCTCTCATGTCCCCTGAAAGAT